ATGATTTACTATACTTAAACAATGTAAATTTTATAGATCACCAACTTCCGGCTTATATAACCAATAAAGAAAATGCACAAAAATGATTTTATCGTAGCACAGTTACAATTGAAAGCATAAAATCTAAACTTCCGTATATACCAATCAAAAACTAAACAAGAAATGATTTCACGTCACAATTCAACAATCGTACACTGCTATACATAAATGTCCGCTAATAGCTAATCACAAGAGAACACCAGAAAGATTCTCTATCCGTCAACATTTAACTCTCAATGTAACGCTATACAAACAAACTCCGTATCCATAACCATGAAAGAAAAGCACAAAAAAATGATTTTCTAACTTCACTTTTAAGTCAAATGTTAAAGTTCTAATCAAACCTTCCGTATAAACCATAAAGAAAAAGCACAAAAAATGATTTTTACCGTCACATTTAACAACTGTTAATGCTAAATCAAGACTTCGTATAGGTACCAATCAACGAAAAAGCAAAAAAACATGATTTACTCCAACATCAATCAATGTAACGCTAATACAAACTCGTATCATAACAAACAAGAAACAAAAAAAATTACTCACATTTAATTCAATGTAACGCTCATCAGTAAAACTTCCGTCTATGATAACCATGAAAGAAACAGCACAAACAAATATTTAACTGCACATAACATGAAAAGTTTTCAAGTATATCAACAACTTCCGGTATTGATACAGAATCCAAGAAAACACAAAAATTACTTCACATAAACAATATATACGGAAGTTTGATTATGGCAGTAACATTGATTAAATGTGACGTAATATCATTTTTGTTGCTTTTCTTGATTGGTATATACGTAATTTTGATTATAGCATTTACATTGATTAAATGTGACGTAAAATCATTTTTGTTGTCTTTCTTGATTGGTATATACGGAAGTTTGATTATGGCAGTAACATTGATTAAATGTGACGTAATATCATTTTTGTTGCTTTTCTTGATTGGTATATACGGAAGTTTGATTATAGCAGTAACATTGATTAAA